ATTTTTCCTTGCCATTTTCAGAATCTGATTTGCAGGGAATTTCCATGAGTTGATGCATGCATTTTGAGGTATTTGAATTTAATTATCCAGCCTTGGATTATTCAAGAGTATTACTGCCTAACCAAGAACATGAGGATGTATTTGTATAACTAATAGATATTCTGCTTCTATCTGAATATATTAAGACACTGTTAGGCTGCTAAGAAAAATTCTGTTGCAGTCTTCTGCTAAAGAACCTTTGCCTACAATATGTCTGGAAGGACAATGTATGTAATACGTAAGAATCTATGCAATACACAGGAGATGCTTCAAATAACGCATAGTTTTGTTTCTGCAGCAAACTAAACTTCTCTGCTGTAGTTGAGATTTTCTTTCCACAGTTGCTGCAAATATGAAATGTCAGTGTAATTCAGATACTTTGAATGATTTTTTGTTGTTGTCTTTTTGTTATAGCCTTTCTTGAAAATCAGGCGATGCAGCTTTATATAGAATAATCTAAATTATTTTCTTTTTGTGAAGTAGATTGCTCTTAGTCTGCCAATACTGATATTTTGGGTTTCTTGTGTTAAATACGCTTTCTTTAGAAACTACTTGGTAAACAGGCTGAATAGTAAGCTAATTGTTTTAAGGAGAAATTCTCCATCTTTCTGCTTCTGAGAAACAGCATTTCCAAATGAAATAAAATAGGAATAAATAATTAATACACAACAATTTTTCTTTTCAGAGTTGCTTATTTTAAAAACTGTGAGCTAGAGTACATTTAGGAAAATATGTAACATCCCAACCAATAGCTTGTTTGCAGAAGCCTGCATTAAAAACTGTAATTAATGCTCAGAAGTGTGTATATAAAAATAAAATTTAAGTGCTTGGCAGTAGCACAGTCTTATGTACATTACTATAATTTCAGGAAATTAAGGATATTTACACATAAATGAATGCATAAAATATGAATAGCAGGTTTGGTAGTATAAAAAATACAAGGATTAGCTATCTGATATGATGCATAATATTAATTAAATGAAAGCTTATGATATAACTGATTTTTACTTCATTAAGAAGCTGCCCCCCTCTCCTCCCCCCACACCTGTTTTTGTTTTGTTTGGGGTTTTTTTAGGCTAAAATAAGACCAGCTGTTTCCAAGCACAACCTCTTCTTAGTTTGAAAACTTTTGCTCAGGGCCTTTTTATTTTCAGGATTTCTAGAGGCATGGATGCCCACAAAGAGGTCACTGATGGGCACCTAAGTGTAAACCGTCCCCAGAAGCATTTGACATGTACATGTCCTGCACATATGTTCTGAATAAAGCCTTCAGTCCAGCACACACTGAGTAAGGAGGATTCTTCCTGTTTACTCAGAATTGAGCACAGCACTTTTGTTTGATAAATTGAGGCCAGGTACATTGTGGCCCTAAATTAATGCCTTCATAGAAGAGTTTTTGTATCTCTATTTCAAAACACCATAGAACTTACTGAAGTAAATGTTATTTTTGTTCAATATTCTAACACAAAAAATAGCTTTTAAATAAAGATTTTTTTTTTATCCATAGTATCTCAAATAATTATAAACAAGAAGTCTGTTCACAATTGGCAGTGTATCTTTGTATTTTAAAGTTACTATGTAACTTCAAGTTCTTAAAATGGTTTTCATCCTTTGCAGTGCAGGTGCTGCTTTTCCACAGGAAAACAATCTTAAGGTAAATTCTGGGCAGGCCTCAAATAGTTGAGCTTTTGCTAGAACACAAAAAATGGAATTGTGGTCTTAGGACTTCCGTAAGCATACAAGTTTCAGAAATTTCAGCTGAAATGGTTTAAAAAATCAGTTTAGTTGTACTTGGGCAGCACCTTGCATGGGCATGCTCTAAATTGATTTATACCCATCTTCAATTGATTAGGCTAAATGAATATTATATACTTGTAAATTAGTTTAAATGTGCTCACATGAAGTTTGCACCACTTTCAAAAAATGATTAATCTCTTTAAACCCAGTGTAATTTCCTTAAATTCTCCCTTACATTCTAATTCAGATCATTCAAAAATCTTTACTATAAAGACATAAGTGTCAGACATCTTGAATGACTGTTTTATTATAGGAAATGAGCATCTGAGTGCCCTCAACTGTATAAAGTAAAAAGTTTAATTTTTTTTTGTAGTCAGCTATGCTCAGATTGGTAATTATTTAAAATACTTGTATTTAAAATATTTATTATATTAAATACATGATTTAAAATACATGACTTTTACAAAAAGCAGCACAGAAGATAAAAAAAAGTCAATTCTTTATGTGTAAAATAATTGTCATTTTCAAGAGTTATCACTAAATTCAGAGGGAATAGCAATTCCTGACATTTGTATAAATGTGTTTTTCCTGGCTAGTCATACTCAGATTAGAAATGTAAGAGATTAACGCTGACATAAAGCATTCTCTTAAAGTACATAACACAATTTTTTACTATTTTTTGTTGTTTGGTGTTTTTATTTGTTTTTTTGTGGTTTGGGTGGTTTTTTTGTTTTTAATTTAGTGATTGGAGGGTGGGCAGGGGCAATGTTTCCAAGCATTTCAAAATGAAGCGGTTAAAACAGCTGTTTTTTGAAGAAGGTTTTGATTTTTAGAAGTTTTATGTACTGCTGACTCAAATATCTTCCAAAAGTAAAGTACATGTGACTTCCGTGCAGTGCACAGTGAGGAATATTTAAGTTTTTACAGCTCCAAGGGCGTGGTAGGAGCGAAGAGTTGTTTTTATGCATTGTTTCTAATTACGTGTTCAGTCTCCCACGTTTATAGCATAGTTAAGCTAGGTTTAAAATCTGTATCTTGCCGTGTGATTAAAATTAGTCAAATCTGCTGTAGTATTTCAGGTAGAGAAGAGGTTTGTATTGTTTCAGTTTTGCTGTTGTGATCACTATTGAAAGCTGACTTGGCAGAAAGCCGTCCCTTTTTCTGGATAAAAGGGAAACAGGCTATGGGATAAGTTATTGATGAAATTAACTGCTGAAGTGGAGAGGAAATGCAGCTGGCCAATACATGTCATAGTGTGAGCTCTATTAAATGAATATATGTGCAGTCAACCATTCAGAGGAGCCACACTGGTCTTGAACTGCATTGATCTATAGTATAATTCTAAATGAAATTGATGGAAGAGAGCAACCATTGACAGGAAGGGTAAAGAGAACCATGAAATGTCTTGTACAGGAAAAGTATGATAGAAAGTAGGCTCATCTATGCCATGGATAGAAAGTGCAATTAAACCGTGGTATTTATAGGTATTCCCAGGTACCTCACCTTTAATTTTAATGCAGTGTATGGCACTGGACTCTTCAAGAAGTGCTTTACAGTATTTTATTTTTAGAAGAAAATCCATAAAGAATCCTACCAAAAATTTTAAATCAGCTTTTCAAGAACTCTAGATACAGCTTTGCAGTTTGCAACTCTGAGCTTTGAGTGAAATTTAGTTGTGATAATGTGTTCTGTTTCTATTAACATTTAAACATTTGTTTACTTACTATGCACTTAATATAAATAGAGCTGTTACATGAAGGCTTGTAAGCTTCTTTCAAGACTGGTGTGCAAAAATGCTACCTTCTAGTCAGAATTTCAGGTGGCTTCTCTCTCAAGCATGTCCTTTCAGACCGTTGGCTCATTGAACTGCTGAATTTACAGGCCTTGATGAATAAAACACTGGGTTCTGTTAGATGTTACTTCTATCAGGGTGGGTCCACATGTCCTGTAGAAGAATCTCTCTTAATTTTGTGTTTTCTGGTAGGTACCCTTTTTGATGTATTGCCTGTTAGATTTCAAGTTTCCAGCACATTGTCATTGTGTCTGTGTAAGAAGACTTAAACCTGGATAATCTCCTTTGCCAGTGCTTCTGTCAGTTTAATTGCTACTGTACCACTTCTGGTGATGAAACGGCTTTGTTAGTTCTTATTGGATTGGCTGAAATATAGAAGGAATTATGGGTATATATGCATGTATGTCCATACACATTCTTTACAATTTACAAATAACTAGAAAAATCTATTTTTATTTATACTCATAGCACACAGTAATAATAGTGTGTACAGTTGTTAGGCTGTAGCATAATGGAAGCTGTAATTTTTACTTCAGAAATATTTGTTTCTTTAGTGTAGCAATTGCAGAGAGTATTGCTAAAATTCTACTACCTTTTTTAAAGGCTTCAATCTAGATGGAAATGGTAGTTGTATATGGTTTTAATAAACTTGCAGTGTTCGTGTGCAGGTTTTTTGTTTTTCTTTTTTATCTTGTGTTAGTAACCTCCAGACTTGACAATATCCATCAAACTAGTTATTGGGGCAGGGATAGGCTCTGCACTTCTCTCAATTTTCTGTTTCTTCTCTCTGTAAAGCATATGGATTCTCTTCAGTCTGTATCTTGAGCTTCCCAGGTGTAAGTATTGTGCATGTGTTGACAGTTGGTTTCTTTAGCCTTGGACCCTTGACAATTACAGATGATTCAAAATTATTTCTTTTAAGTATAATACGTTGGGACCCATATTGTTTTGAATGGTATCCATGTTAAGGATTTATTTTTTAAAAAATTTTCAGAGAAGCCAGGAGACTATAAGCAGTGGAAGTTTATGACATCTTACCAGCAAAGAGACAAAAATCACAGGCATGAGTTTATTATTCTGTTGTGTTGGAATTGTACAAGTGACACAACCCTAAAAAGAAAAAAAAAACCCTCTACCTGTTTCAACTTCAGCCAGTGAAGTTTTATCTCTTGTTACAGAAACTTGTGAACTAGGATTTTACCCCATTCTTAAACAGGCATACTGTTCATTTTATCAGAAAAAATGTGCTATTTTGTGACATCTGGAGCATTCCTGGAAGAAAGCACTCGGACATTTCAAAATATGAATCCTTTTATCTGTAGCGTGTGTATTTAGAAATGATTGTATATTGTATTATTTCCTTCTTCTAAATTTTTTAATCCAAAATAAATTTTTGAGGTAAAAAATTATTTGATCTCTCTTTAACTTCAAGGTTCCTGTTTCATTCGAACTGACCAGCTTGATGGAGAAACAGACTGGAAACTGAAGGTTGCAGTCAGTTGCACACAAAGATTGCCAGCTTTAGGGGTAAGCATTTCATCTGTTTTCTTTTAAGGTATCTTCCATGTATACATATATATATCTTATCTAGAAGATTGTTACAGGTAATCTAAGTATTAGAAAATATGTTACCACAGTCTTAGTTTTTGCAATAAATAGAGGATAGATACTACACAGAATGCTGAATGAGAGTTGGGTTTGCAAATATTCTTGTTTTTACATTGAAAAGAAACTGAGACAGAATTGGATTTTTATCTTTCTCATTGTGGTTCCCACTGAGATGCATACTCTGCAGAAGCATATCACAGTTGTAGTGTTTTCAACTAAGGATTATACTGCAAGAGCAAGTCATTCTTGCCTCAGGAACCGCTGCTTTAATCACTGACTTCTAAGCTTGGGAAACAGCAGTTTGCTCTTGCAAGGTAAAGTGCTTTTTGTTGTCAAGATGCTTTCTGGTCTGGCTATGTGCAATGTGCAGGTTTCTTGCTAGGAGGCCTCTCTGAGTCACCTGAATGTATTTTTTGAGTGCATGTATGTGTCGTGTCACAGGTACCTATTAAAATCGTGAAAAATGACACGTGTGTGTATGTATACATTGAAACCAGACATGTATCTCCAAAAATGTATCTAGAATTGTATAAATGTCTCTTAATGAGAAGCTGAATTGTGTTCCTTGACCTGGGGAGGCTTGCTGTCTTACAGGAGAGTTGGCATAGTATTAAGAGACTTTCTCTGAAAATGTACTCAAGTTATGCACTTGTGGAAATTTACCTGTACAGAACTTCTGGTGTTTTGACACTAAATCCTTTAGGTGTTTTATTAAAGGAAAACATACCTTTAATGAACTCTCAATAGAAAAAGTTAAGTGCTAGATTATGTGCCAGATTTTAGCAGGGCTTCTGCTGTTTTTCTTCCAGAATTACTGGAAATTGCCACATGGAGATTAGCAAAAGAGATTTATTTTTTTCCTGTGTTCATAGTGCTCTGATTACTGGCTTCACATGTGCCAGGAGGAGGAAAAAACAGCTAGGTTTGGGTTTAGTAGTAAGGGATGGAACTGAAGGTTGGTCATGCCAGACAGAGATGCTCAGTCAGGCTCCAAGAGGGTAGTTCTGGTGCAAGAACTGACTTTAACAAGCAGTTTGTAACCTGCGGGTGAATTTTAACACTTGTAACAATGCCTCTCCTGTCGGTTTTTGCCATTTAATCACTTGCACATCGCTTTCTGTCCGCGCTGACGCCTCGCAGCAGCCTCGCGGCTTCCCCCCGGCAGCGTGTGCGAAAACTCCGCCCACCCGCCTGCTTCCCGTGCACGCGCAGCGGCGAGCGCCGCGCGCGCCCTGCTCTCGTCCTGCTCCGCGGTCGCCACCTGCTG